CAGAAATCAAATCTTCTCAAAAAGAAATCGTAAGAAATCAAAAAAAAATCTACGCGAATCTGCGATTTGAGACGATGGGTTACGTAGAAATACGACAGTAAACGTCGCTGTATACTGTCGTATTCGTCAGAATACGGCCGTGTTACGGCACAGGTTTCAGTGTAAACGATGTTCATTTTTCGTCGTATACGACACGGAGTCATACGACCGTGATACGGTCCACACCAAACGGATGATTTACGACCCGTATACGGTCGTATTTCTGTCGGTTACGGCCGTTTACGATCGTCGTAATGATCGACCTGGGGATCCATTTGCAAATTTGAGCCGACCCTAGAGTGAATTTGTTTTGTTTCCTGTGATAGAATTCTTTACATCACATCAACTTTTCCTTACTGATTCTCAAACGTCATCGTATCCATTGATTTATGAGTAGGATATAAAATGTATGTTTCATAGAATTTGTAGACAACTGCTATGTCATTAGTATGCCTTAGTCAACAATTAACCATTTATGTTGGTTTATTTTTGCTTATTATTGGTATTTTTGGTAATGGAACGAACATTTTCATATTCTCAAGTGTTCGTTCTTATCGTATATCACCTGCTACATTCTATTTTCTAGTCGAATCAATGGCTAAAATTGTCTTTTTAACAACTAATCTTTTACTTCGTGTAGTTTCCTTTTATTTTGAATTTGATTTAAGTCGCACATCATTGATCTGGTGTAGATTAAGACAAGTTTTACTCACTCTATCAAGCACAATAACTGTTACTTGTACATGTTTAGCTACAATGGATCAATTTTTTGTTACATCTTCTAATCCTTCGTTATGTCAAATTAGTAAAATTCAACGAGCATATCAAATTGTATTGAATACTAGCATTATCTGGTTTCTTCATTCGCTTATTGCTTATTTTAATGTGGCTATTTCACCATTTACTGGTGCATGTGCTTCGAGCAATTCTACGTATATTTACTATTTATATTCCAATATTTTTCATTTTTATTATTAGTGTAATTCCAATAACAATAACAATGATATTTGGATATTTAACTTATCGTAATATTCGTCAAACAACAGTTCTTGCTGAACAACAAGCTGATCGACAAGTGGTAAAAATGGTTCTTCTACAAATCATATTAATTATCATTTCTAATACTCCTCTTGGTGGACTTAATACATATGGATTGATTACAACTGGAGTTATTAAAAGTCAAGAACAACAATTACAAGAATATTGTGCTTCATTGCTGATCAATCTTATAGCATCGATATATTTTGCGGTTTGTTAAGACTTCATTAAAGTATTTAAAAAAGAATTATTTTTGATTATTTTTAGGCAGGTTTTTATACATTTTTGATTTCATCAAGTCGTTTTCGTCAAACTGTAAAAGAACGATTATTTCGATGACGACCTTCAAATCAAGTTCAGCCATCTCGAACTTGATGGTATGAATATCATTATTAGAGTAAAACAAACATATTTTACCAAAATTCTCATTTTATTCGATATTTTTATCCCAAAATATGATCTTTAAATAAATGTAAATGTTGTAACGTCAGTATAAATAAAAAAACAAATGAATATTTAATTGCAAAAAGAATAGTATGAATGTGATTATTCATAACGAATAATATCCTCATGTCATTGTTCATATTCATAATAGGTGATATATCAATAATAGACTATGTAGAGCAAATATTGAATGATGCAAAAATTTATCTAATACAGTAAAACCTCTCTATAGTGGACACCCTTCGGACCTTTCAAGAGTGTCCACTATATGGAGGTGTCCACTATGAGGAGGCTAAGTGTTTTTCAAGAACAATATCTTTTTCGAAGAAGTAGGCACGATTTTAGGCATCTAAAGTATTAGTGAATAAGATAATCGGATAGAGCAAGTTATTACTTCTATTTCATATATTTTAATTTTTGAAAATAGAAAAATTAACAATTGTCAA